TTTCATACTATTATTTGATAATTTTAGAAATATCTGTAAGAAGAGTTAATATCTTCCATTATTTCAAACCATTTTTTAAGTAGATTACAAAATGAAAAAATCATATTGGGTCCCTGAATAGTTAATGCCTATCCCTAATCAGAAAGCATGATAGATTAGAAGAGAATGATGACTTCCAGGATATGCCATTTATTAATGTTTAAAAGTTATGAACTTGTACTTACTTACTGAAGAGAAGGCATCAAGCTTGATAATGACTATTTCAAATCTTCCCAACTGATCAAAACCCCACCTCTTAGCTAATACAGTAGAACTACTACCTTGAAGCACAATGCTGTCTGATAGGACAATATCCCTATGCCTACAAGGAATATTAAGTAGTTCTACTATTATTCAATTTTATTCACCAACTTCTTCATGTTTGGTAAGGTGGAGGGTCAGAGAAAAAGAGGAAGATCCCCAACGTGATGGATTGGTCAAGTGGTAGCATCAATGGACTGAAGCGTGGCAACAGTAGTGAGGTTGGCCCAGGACAGGATTGGGCAGTGTTTCGTTCTGTTGTGCATAAGGTCACTATGGGTTGGTACTGACTCGATGACACCTAACAACAACAACCAACTTCTTCAGTCTGAAATTGGCAAAACTTGCCATCAAGATGTATTGTTAATTACTGGTGAGAGAAATGCACAAGGTTGGAAACAAAAAAGTAGTTGAAAAATAGGGCCTTGGTGATTTGGTGATGAAAACAATTCAGGAGATTGCATGTCAGAATTTGGCAAGATCAATGACTTCTTTGTAAATACCTTTTTTATGCAACATAAAAGATGAATAGACACATGGACCTCACCAGAGGGAATACAGAGAAATCAAACTGACTACATCTGTGGAAAAAGATGGTGGGAAAGCTCCATATCATAAATAATTAAAACAAACCCTCAGAGCCAAAATATGACTCTGAACAGATCCGAACTAAATTTAGAAATCATCTCAAGAACAGTTTTGATGCATTAGGCACTAATGATCGAAGACCAGAAAAGCTGCGGGATGACATCAAGAACATCATACAGGAAGAAAGCATAAGGTCTTAAGAAGACAAAAAAGAAGGAAAAGACCAAAATGGATGTAAGAAGAGACTGAAACTTGCTGTCTCGCATAGAGATGCTAAATCAAATGGAAGAAGTGAGGAGGAGGTAAGAGAGCTGAACAGAAATTTCAAAGGACAGCTTGAAAAACAGTCAAATATTCTAATGAAATGTAAAAAGATCTAGAGATAGAAAACCAAGAGAGGAACACACCCAGCATTTCTCAAGGTGAAAAAAAAAGAGAGAGAAAATTCAAGCCTCGATTTGAAATGCTGAAGGATTCTTTGGGTAAAATATTGAATGATGCAGAAAGCATCCAAAGAAGATGGAAAGAACACCGTCACTGTACCAAAAAGAAATGGTCGATGTTCAACCACTTCAAAAGGCAGCCTATGATAAAGAGCCAGTGGTACTGAAGGAAGAAGTCTAAGGTACACTGAAGGCACTGGAAAAGAACAAGGTTCCAGGAATTGATGGAATACAAATTGAAATCTTTCAACAAACTGACATGGCACTGGAGGCACTCACGAATGCCAACAAGTTTTTAAGAAAGTTACCTGGCCAACTGATGGGAAGAGATCCATATTTGTGCTGATTCCAAAGAGAGGTGACCCAATGGAATTCAGAAATCATCAGAAAATATCATTAATAGCAAGTAAAATTTTGCTAAAGGTAATTCAAAAACAGATGCAAGAGTACACTGACAGGGAACTGCTAATGGTTCAAGCTGGATTCAGATAGGGATGTTTAACAAGAGATATCATTGCTGATGTTGGCTGAAAAGATAACACCAGAAAGATGTTTTCCTGTGCTTTACTGACTATGCAAACACTTTTGACTACACAGATTGTAACAAGTTATGGACAACATAGCAGAGAATGAGTATTCTGGAGCACTTAATTATGTTCATGAGGAACCTATACATAGATCTAAAGGCTGTCATTCAAACAGAACAAGAGGACACGGGTTTAAAATCAGGAAGTGTACACCATATTTATTCAATCTGCATGCTGAGCAAATAATCCAAGAAGCTGGAATGTATGAAGGAAAATGTGTTATCAGGATTGGACTATCAGGTCATTAATAACCTGCAATATGCAAATGATACCACCTTGCTTGCTCAAAGCAAAGTGGACTTAAAATACTTACTGATGAAGATCAAAGACCACAGCCTTCGGTATGGGTTGCACCTCAATGTAAAGAAAACAAAAATCATCACCAATGGACCAATAAACAACATCTGTTTAAATGGAGAAACTAAACAATGTACTGCATTAGGCAAACCTCTTTAAAGTGTTTAAGAGCAAAGAAGTTTGTTTTAGAACTAAGGTGCAATAACCTCCCGTGCATGTGAAAGTTGGATAGTGACTAAGGAAAACCACAGAACTGCTACACTTGAGTATGGTAGTTGAAGAATACTAAAAGTACCATGAACTGCTCGAAGTACATACAAATCTGTGTGAGAAGAAGTATAGGCGGAAAGCTCCCTGGAAGCCAGGAAGGCCAGACTTCATCTCTCATACTTCAGACATATTATCAGGAGGGGCTAGTCCCTGGAGGATATCATGCTTGGTTAAGTGAAGGGTCAGAGAAAAGGAGGAAGACCTCAAAGAGGCAGACTGGCACAACTGCAGTAGCAATTGGCTCAAGCAAAACAATGACTGAAAGGGTGGCACAGGGCCAGGTTGTACTTCATTCTGTTGTGTGTAAGGTCGCTATGAGTCCGAATGGACTCAAAGGCACCTAGCAACAACAATCCAGCACAACACCTGCAGTTTCACAAATATGCTTTCCACGCTTTAGCAACATCACCACTTACACCCAAAATTAAGGGACCTACCAATTAGGAGAACCAGAAAAAAAATTCAATCTCTGGCCCTCAGTGCGGTATTTTTTCAATATATTGTATGTAGCACCTATCAGTGTTAACATTTGAATTCATCTTGGTCAATCTCCAACCAAGAACATGTTTACAAGCAACTTGCTCTAAGCTGAAGAAACAGTATACAATCACAGAAGAGATGTATAGAAGCAAGAGTGGTGTTTCTATCAAGTGAGTTGTGGCTCATTTCTATAAAAGCAGAGCTACAGGGATAACTGGAATCAAAGGAAAGGTCGTAATTTATTTCTCCAAATATATACTAGCTTAAAGCAAAATTTCTGAAACTCACATTTTTATATTAGCCAGTTAAGAACATCTTTATATAAATATGCATGAGAATGTAAGCAAAAGCTCTGCAAATACGACTTGCTAGATTATTCATTTGCTACTCAATCATCCTAGGTAGAAAAAACATGTTTATAATAATACTAATAATACTTGACTTGCCTGGAGAGAAAAGTATTTCAAGATTATCAACCCAGTTCTATATCAAACAATGCTAAAAAGTCAGTATACACAGTAAGTCCCTATTTGTGTAGAATAAAGCAGTTATATATGTTTTCAAATGTACAAAAGATTTAAAAAACACCTAAGACATTTGTAATAAAAGCAAACAATCAATAATAATAAAGGCTGAGGGGGGAGCCTACTAAAAATATTATTTGGCACTGTTCAGTTTGTTTAATGTTCATGTACTATTTTTTCAAGTTAAAAAAAAAATTTTTTTTTGACATCACCACTACTATACAACACAGTCTATTCATTACTCTTATACTCACAAAGAATTAAGAGTCACATAAATTAAGTTTTACATATCCAGATTCATTCTAAGTGAAAATAAAAGTTTACTCTCATATTCTATTTTTATAGTAAAAACAAGTAACAAAAGCACCTTTAATTGGTCTTTAACTTTTCTATAGAGGTCTTCTCGTCTTATTTATTTACATGGGCAATGGAATCTAAATCTTCACTGATACTGGTTTTTTAAGTACTAAGAAATCAATAAAAAACAGCCAACAATTACTGTAAAACAGGATGAGAATGTGAAGGGGTAAGGAATTAGATTAATGGAAACAGAAAAACCCAAACAGAATGAGAATGCTTACATACTGTGAAGGATATAACCAATATCACCAGAGAATGTGTAAAGAAATGACTGAACAGAACCCTAAAGTGCTGCATAAACTTGCACTAAAACATAGTAAATTATAAAACATGATGTTTTAAAAATATTATATAAATATCTTCTCTTGTAATCTATATTGCTGTTGTTCTTAAGTGCTGTATAGTTGGTTCCAACTCACAACGACCCTACACAGGATGACCGAGGAGTGGCTGGTGAGTTTGAATCGCCAGCCTGGCAGTTCAAACCAACCTGGAGGTTGAGTGCTTATCCTAAGGCATCACACCAGGACTCCAATATTCTATACAGTCTTGTACAAATTAACTGGTAAAATTTTAATTTCACAAGAAAAGTTTCTACCGCATACATTATAGATTTCAATACAAACAAATTATATCAACTATATAAACACAAAACAGTACTGCTTAGGGAAAAAAAAAATCATTAGAAAAGGTAATTCAGTTTTAATTTATTTTCATCACTTTTTTTTTCATGATTCAGATATATTAAAATGCAAAGAAAATTAACTTTCCATGATATGTCAGGGACTGGCACTAAAAAAATTTTTCAAACTGCAAATGAGTTATACAAATGAAAATATCAAATGGAGATCCAGTTATTCAAACAAAAGCACTCAACATATTAAAAGTTCACAATTATTTGTATAGAGCACGTTAAAAAGTCAACTTGCTAACCAACTGTTGTGATTTTAAACAACTATTTGCAGAGGACTAAGGAAAATAGATTTATTAGTTAACTTATAAAGAGATTAAAGAGCTTGAAACAAGTATTAAAAAGAAATCTGTGCCTTTATTAGAATGGTGTTAGGCTTTAAATACACCGATTTTGACAAATCAAATGATTGGGTTTGTTGGGGTTTTTTTAAATAAGAAATGACACTACAGAACTGCAATACTGGTCCGACAACAGTCTTGTCTTTACTTTTCATTTAAAGCAAGAAACAGAACGTGAGTAATCAGAAAGCACTAGCAGGCACCAGTTATTCCAAGATACTGGCTTCTTAGTTCCAAAAGCACTTGCAAACAAAGCCACTGGGCTGGAGGGTGGAAGGGGAGAAGCATTTCATAATAACTGGAATCCCATGAGTGTGTAAGCCAAGTCTCGTGAGGCTATTATTTTCTTAATTTATTCTTTACTTGGTCACTTTTTTCCCCCTCAAATATTACAGTTTTTCTTTGACTTTTATTCCTCAAAGTATAAAAAGTATGAAATATAAACAAGCTCTTGCACTGTATGCTTAGAAGTGTACAATTCAAACATTATAGAGCTATCTACATACTGATAAATCCCATCAAATCTTGGATAATTCAATAATATACAAAATATCAGGGCACAGAAAGAACTAAAACCCACTTATTTTGTGACACATAAGATTCAAATAGTCAATCTAAAGAAAAACAATCATTTTGGCTTTCCTCTACATTCGCATGATGATACACTTATTAAAATATTCCTGTATAATTGTTTGGTCTTATTATTTCAAGTCAGTTTTAAAACCTTAAAACCAGTCATCCAGACAAAACAAGCCATCAGAAAGACAATCTCTTCCCCCTCCCTAACCCCAATAACTATGAAGTCAGTTTTAAGACATGACTCCAAACACTGGATTGTGACGACAAATGCTGGGTCCAATTTCTTCATAATCTTTTTTGGTGTGGCATACTTGGTAGAACTCAGGCTGAAAATAAAAAATAAAAAAACTTTTATAAAGGCCAAAAACCTACCACTTTTCAATAAGCCTTAAAATAACTATGTTGGTTTTTTGGCTGCTCTTGTTAAATCTAAAATGTTTATTATAAAGCCCACACCCACTGTACTTAAAAAAAAAAAAGTAAGCTTAAGAAATTCTAGCAATAATTTATAACAGGTATAACTTATATCAGAACTGAAATGGATCGTTGAACTTATGTGTCTGTCGTGTACCCTTCATAATCTGAGGATTATGAAATTTTGAAAAATGGAAGGTTAATTCTACAACGTCTAGGTTATTCTGTGGAAGCTTTCCCATATTGTGCACTGAACCAATAAGGTAAAGACAAGCATTAACCCAAAGTACAATAAATCACTCCTGGATATGCTATAGAGACATCTGTAGCTTTCCTCTTCACTCAACGTCTGGTAAAGACAGACCATTCCACCTGTCTTTCATTTCTCTAAGGACAAAATTACTACTAATTCAGGAAAAATATCATTTCTACGTTCTAGTTTTTGTTTTTTTTTTTAATTCAAGTTATTTTAATACTTCAAATAAAAGTTCTTTTCTATTAATACTGTGTGCATTGCCAGAATAAAGGACCAATGATGTTAGAACAATTTTTAAAGAAACTTTAAATTGTTCTGCTTCTAGAAAATGGTTCTTGGAACAATTCCCTTTTCTATTTAGAACATCACATTCCCTACGCAAAAAGACAGGTAATTTTTACCTTAATGTTTTTAAATATGTGCACAGAAAAAAATGACTTTTTGCTGTTTGTATTACCACAGGTTTAAAAAAATTTTCCCTGCAGACAAATTTAAGTGTACAAAATAAAATGCTCACTCTAAAAACATGTCTAGTAAGCTATGAAATGAACATTAAAATGATTTTCACTTCTTAAAAAATCTGTTTGTGTGTATCCAATTTTATAATCTTCCTACTCACAATATTTAAACAAATTTTACCTTGTTTTTCTGTTGCCTAAGTACTGATGGATTCCTCCATCTTGAAAGCAAGCTCCACCCCACTTACCGTGGAAGCCAACATTGACCCTCCAAACCAAACTGCATACCGCTGCATATGGTGTGTAATTACTTGTACATCAATAGGCTTTGGCTAAAAAAGACAAAAGATCCCTTCAATAGCAAATACAAATAACAGTTTATATATCATTTCACTTTAAATGCACATACACAAAAATATTATTTAAAATAAACTCAGACAAAAACCAGGAAAACTGAAGTGGTTATCCACAGGAAAAGAAGAGTGGAAACTGTGGAGGAGATGGGAACAGGACAGAATGGATGGAGGGGGAATAACACTGAGTATCTTGGTGTGGCGCTGCAGGTTAATGCACTAGACCACAAGGTCGGTCTGAACTACTGGGTCAGCAGTTCAAGCTCACCAGCTGCTCCTTGGAAACCCTATACAGGGTCGCTATGAGTCTATGGCATTTAACATATACTTTGTACATTCCTGATTTTTAGAACCATGATATTATTTCACAGATTCAAAATAAATACAATTTTAAAAGATGGGGCACATGGTTTGAACTGGAATACAACAGAAACTAATTACAATAATTATATGAGTTTTTGTTTTGCTTTTTAATTAAATACAACGAAGTAGAGGACTTGCAAATACAGAATCTTAGCTTCATGTGAAGATTAAAAACTAAGCAAATACGGAAGTCAAGGTTAGTAGAACTATTTTCACAGTGGTACTGGTTAACAATTCTGGTACTACTATGAAGTAATCCAGGGCTGAACAAAAACAAATTGATAATGACTAATAGAGTCGGGTTTCTTGATGAGAAGAGAATTATCAATATGGAAAGATAAATGTCTAGAATGAACCCTGAAGTATTTTGGAATTGTAAGCATGAATATGAATTCAGATTTTCATTTATACAGCTAGACAGAGAACTAGACATAGATGTATACATACACACATTTTCTATCTTGGTTTGCTAAGAAAGCTAGAAGCAGTGAGACTCCATTAGCAATGAACAACACATCTAGTACCTAAAACTTGATTTCTTAAAGCATTCTCCACTAAAGAAACCAAGGTGAAAAAACTTGGCTGATTCCAGGGCCTACCTAAGCAGAGAAAGCACAAGATGAACATGGAACATCTAGCTGTGCCAAAAGTGAGGACGAGGTGAAAATGGTGGGGCTATATCAAAAAGAAGTAAGGTCACTTTGAATGGTATCCATGGCCGAATCTGGGATATGCTTATATATCAAAATTAAAAATCTGAATGGACTGTTGCCCATAGAGCCCAAGGAGAAACCAGGAGCTCATCTAGATATTATTGAATGAATGAATAAATGAATGAATGAATGAATGAATGGATGGGAATGAACAAAATGAATTTTTCAAAACATAATTATTTTAGGTAAGAAATCAGCCACGAATGGTAAAACCAATGGCTAATGAGAAACAGGATAGTTATACAGTCTGAAAATACCTTCCCATAAAATTCTTAACATATATAAAGAAAAAGACAGTAACTTTACAGTAGAGAAATCTGGCAGACACAACTTTAACCAAAGAGTCAAGGTTAACATACGGGGTAAATGTACTGAAAAGGACACAATGACCACCTCCCTGGTAGTACTACCAACAGTGCATGATCTGAATCTAATTATGAGGAAACAGCTGTTGTTGTTGTTGTTGTAGTAGCTGAGCCCAAATCAAAGACATTGTACACAATAAATGGCCTGTCATCTTCACCAAGTTAAGGACAAGAACTTGAAAAAAAAGACTAACTGCTCTAGATTAAAGCAGCATAACGAAGTGAAACACGCAACCCTGGAAGCATATTGGGGTTATGCATAGGGTTGCTAACCTCAATGTCAGCAGTTCAAAACTACCAGCCACTCCACAGGAGAAAGATGAAGCTTTCTGCTCCCATAAAGATTTATAGCCTCGGAAACCCAACACAGGGTGGGTTCTAAGTCAGAACAGATTCCACAGCACACAACTACTACCACCAGAAAAGAAATTAATGGGACAACTGGTAGATCTGATGTAGGCCTACAGCTCTAGAGGTAGATAACAGTATTGCATCACAGCTAAATTCTGTTTTTAGAAATGACACACTATGAAATTTATGAGTAATGGGGTATATTTGCAACTAACTCTTATATAGTTCAGGAAAAACTTGTGTGTGTGTGTGTGTGTGTATGTCTACATTTACAGAAATAGAATGGTAATGTAAATGTAACATAATGTGAATATTTGGGGAATCGAGGTGAACAATATATAGGAATTCCTTCTAACCATTCTGCAACTTTTCTCTAAGTATAAAACACTTAAAAATAAAAAGATGTTTTAAATTATATCCCATAAAAAGATATGGCTGTATACCAATTTCCATTGCATCATTCTACATAATAGCCAAAAAGTGGAAACAATCCAAGTGTCCATTAACAGATGAATGAATAAACAAAATGTGGTAAATACATACAACAGAATGTATTCAGCCATAAATAGAAATGAAGGCCTAATACAGAATTGTTGTTGTTATGTGCTGTCGAGTCGGTTCCAACCCACAGCGACCCTGGACAGGGTTTCAAATGAGCAGCTGGTGAGCTTGAACTGTTAACTTTGAGGTTCAAACCAACTTTGCAATCCAACGTATTAACACACAGCACCACACTAGAACTCGGAATGCATGACTGTTGTTGTTGTTAAGTGCCGCTGAGTCGATTCCAACCCATAGCGATCCTGTATAGGGTTTCCAAGAAGCAGCTGGTGAGCTTGAACCACTTACCTGGCAGTTCAAATGACTTTGCAGTCTGACGCATTAGCCCACAGTGCCACACCAGGACTCCTAATACATGACAGGACATGAATAAAGCTTAAAAACATAATGCTAACTGAACTAAGCCAGAAACAAAAAAGACATTACTATATGATTCCACATACATGAAGTATCTAGAATCGGCAAATGCATAAAAATTTGATTAGTGGTTAACAGAAACTGGGAGGAGGGTGGAATTGAGAGGTTCCATTTGAAGTGATTAAAAACTTTTGAAAATAGTCATGATGATTATACAATATGATAAGTATAATTAGTATCACTGAGTTCTTTATATTTAAAAATGATTAAAATAGCAAATTTTGTTGTTATTTTAGCAAAATGATTTTTTTTAATGACATGACTGGAAAACACAGAGAAGAAGTGGCATAAGTAGTACAGCATTGTGGGGGTTACAGTCTCTGACATGAAACAAAATTTGAATTGTTGAATGGAAAACACCCAATTCACAATAAAAGATACTTACTTAAATAAAGAAGTTAGTTATCATTCAAAGTTACACACTAAAAAAAGAGCATCAAGTCAGACATGGATATGCAGTTGTTGTTAAGTGCTACTGAGTTGGTTCCAACTCATAGCAACCATGGAACGACTGGTGGGTTTGAACCACCACCTTGTTGTTCAAATCAGCCTTGCAAATGGATCAGTGTTTACCCTACAGCGTCACATGAGGATTATAGATATAGACATAAATTGTTATAGGTTGTTAAATGTCATCAAGTCGGTTCTGACTCACAGAGACCCTGTATAGGATTTCCAAGGTGCAACTTGTGAATTTCAATCACATACCTTGCAGTTCAGACTGACCTTACAGTCCAATGCTTATCCTATATTGCCACACCAAGGCTCTAAATATAGGTATATAGTTATAAAGGGCAAGGTGTGGCAGAGTACGATAATAACTGGACTGCTAACCACAGGTCAGCAGTTCAAACCCACGAGCCATCTCGTACACCCTACACAGGGCCGTTGTAAGTGGGAACAGATTCAATGCCACTTAACAACAAAAAGATATATATACTGATACTTTCAGAGACTCACAAAGAATATTACTCCTGGAGTATTGCGAAGAATCTAGTATATACAAATTATTCGAGAGAGAAGTATTAAGAGAGAAAAATAAAATCTGGCAGAAATAACTAAGAATATTTTTCAAAACTCCAGAAAACGTAGAAAGCAAATGGCCAAGATTACCATGGACATGACTGTAAAACCAGTTTCCATTACCTACTTGATAAGTAAAAAAGTGTAAAAACTGGCAGACATTCCTCATTCCTACTACCAAAACAAGCACCCTCAACCTTCCCACCAATAATTGAGAAAACCAACCTTCAATCTACCGCCACTTAATTCTTCACTTAATTTCAGCCTGGCATCTACAGTTCTTTTCAAATCTCTTTGCAAGCGACGTCCAAAGTCCCTGAACATGGTTGAGCCTCCAGAAAGGACAATGTTCTATATTAGTAGGGGGGAAAAAACAAAAAGACACGAAAATATGGTATTTTTTAAAAGGGAGAAAAATATTTAAATACAATAGTTAGTAAAAAAATTCAATTTCACCCTTTAAGAAGAGTGTTTTTAATTGAATAATCCATAATGGACAGAAAGAAGTTTTTTAAGTATGACCATGAATAAAGAATTTTGTTAGAACTACTGACCTTGTAGAGAGGACGTCTGACATCAATAGGACAATTCTGAATGACTTCATCTACAACTTCTGAGATAGGCTGTGTAAAGTCTGGATTAGCAAACTGAAAAATAAGTTGGACATAAGATAGAGAGTGAACACAACCCACTTCAAGAAAAAATGGGCAAATCTACTCCTTTAAGAGAAGACAGTTCTAGGACTCACATATGGAGCAGAAAAATAGCTAAAGCAGGGGGGATTTTAACGAAAATAATACCACACACACATGCAGTCCACCTCCCCTGTGTGGCTTCCGTCCTTTATCCCTCAAGAGTACTTGAAAAGACCTAAGGATTCCCCCCAAAGAAAAGGTCATAGTCAATAAGCCACACTCACAAAACTCAGATTTCCAATTAGGTTTTCAGTGTCCACTTAATAAAGTGCAATAATTATATAGTTAGCATGGGATCACAATGTCAGTTTCAAGGACAAGGCCGGCAGTTGAAACCCCTCGCCAATTCTCGAAACCCTATATAGATAGGGTCGCTATCTGTTGGAATCAAGTCTATGGCAGCTAACAACAACAGCAGCATGAAAAATAGGGATTAGAACAGAGAAAATACAACTTGGAAGAAAGACTATTTTTCCAAGTTTTACCATATGACCAGGATATTACTCCTAGGTAAACCTAAAAGTGAAAGAAGACACTCTAGCAGACATATATACATTACTATTACTCATGCTCTAGTAGCGTAGTGGTTAAGAATCGGACTGCTAACCTCAACGTCAGCAGTTCCAAACTACCAGCTGTTACGCAGGAGAAAGATGAGGCTTTTTGCTCCCGTAAAGATTTACAGCCTCAGAAACCCTATACAGGGTTGCTATGAGTCAGAACCGACTCCACGGCACATAACAACAACATTAGTCATAGTCAAAGGATAGAACAACCCAAGGGTTCTACCAACAGATAAATGGACAAAAAAAAAAAAAAAGTGACAAATATATACAATGAAATATCATTCTACCACAAAAAGGAAAGACGATCCAATAAACATACAATATGAACATTATGTTAAATGAAATAAGACAGACACAAAATAGTCCCAATTATATAAAATATCAACAACAGACAAGTAGATAGATAAACATAAAGCAGAACAGAGTTACCAGAAAACTTTCTGAGAAAAGGAGGTGTGGAGAGTTATTCTTTAACAGGTACAGTTCTTTGGGGTACAAAAAATTTTTTTTGAAAACAAACAATGGTAATAGTTGTACATTTCAAGTTTAATTAATGCTCCTGGATTATAAACCTGAAAACGGTTACAATTCCAAATTTTATGTCACATGTAGTTTACCACACACACATATGAGGGGGCATCAAAAAGTTCTTAGAAAAGTAAAATGAAAAGATAATGGAATTTTTGCCGCGAACTTTTTCAAGCCCCCTTGTATACCAGGGCTTATGTAAAACAGTATAGCTTAGGTTCAAGTTCAAACATACATGGGTTTATTATAAAACAACAACATATTTATTTACACATCTCTGTGATCAATGGATGGTTATGGACACGTTTTCTCCGTGTTACACTTGTCTTAGTCTCGTTAGCATGCATTTAAAAATGCAAGTCAATCGAAACAATGGCTTCCAACATGATTTGCTGGATCAGTTGGATTCAAGGCAGAAGAATCAGTTCAAAAGGTTATGGCCACTATTCTGTGGGATCACAAAGGGAAATTTTTGATAGATTTTCTTGAAGGACACTGAACAATCACAAGGACTTACAATGAAAAAGTTTTAAGAAAACTGAAAACTGTACCGGTGAAAATAAGGCCAGGAAAGTTGTGGGAGGGATTTCCCCCCCCCAACATGACAATGTACCTTTTCATTCTTTGAAGGCCTGGTGTGAAGTTACAGGGGAGGCACTGGACTGCTAACCCCAAGGTGGGCAGTTCAAACTCACCAGTCACTCCTTGGAAACCCTATACAGGGTCGCTATGAGTCAGAACAGACTCAACAACAAACAACTCTTTGAAGGCAGCAGGGACTGACTTAGGAAAAGTTCACTGAGGAACATTCATCATCCCCCTTCAGACTTCTTTTTGTTCCCAAAACTCAAAGAACATTTAAAAGAAACATGATTTGAATCCCTGGAGGGTGTCAAAACTGCCATTTTGACATGGTGTACAAGGGTAAGTCAAAAAGTACTGCTACAAACTCATGTTGTTGCTAAGTGCCATCAAGTCAGCTCTGACTTCACAGTGACCCTATAATGGGTTTCCAAGAACATAAATGCTTGTGGGAGCAGACAAGTCTCCTATTTCTCCTCAGAGCAGCTAGCAGGCTCAAACCACCTACCCTATGGTTGTTGTTGTTAAGTCCCATTAAGTCAGTTCCAACTCACAGCAACCCTGTATAGTGTTTCCAAAGAGTGGCTGGTGCGTTTGCACCACTGACCTTGTGGTTCAAACCAACCTTGCAACCCTATGGTTGCAAAGAAACTTTTAGTAATTAAGAATATCGAAATGTGAAGCCATTGTTTCTCAACACACCCTTGATCTATCTCTATACACTTCTGAAAAGAGTGTTTCTATCTCTCTAACCCTTCCCCAAAGAATGCTGTGCTCTTCAGTTTACACCATGTCCAAACTGCAGCTCTGGATACCTAAAGGCTTACAATGATACTATGAAAATGGTTATCTACTTAATTCTTGTGAAGACAAATAAGCCTATCAAAAAATAACTGCTCTCAACACTGAATAAGCAAAACAAGCATTTTATGAAAGCAATTCTATTAACAGGACCTAGGCAGGCAGTGTTTCGCTCTGTAGTGATAAGGTTGCTATGAGTTGGAACTGACTCAATGGTATGAAATATCAACAAGGTAGTAAAAGTGGTTGGCAATTGGCTGCTAAACTATAGGATGGCAGTTCAAACACACCTAGCACCTTACTGGAAACTGTTTCCATATAGATTTCAGCCAAGAAACCTCTATAGAGCACTTCTCTGAATGTTTCATGGAAACATGGGGTTTCCATGAGTCAAAATTGACTCAACAGCAACATGCTAATTCTATTAAATTACATTTCTGCTATAAAACTACTCAAATAACTTTACACTGTTAAGTGTACACATTCCAATAACTTAATACAGTCTTCAAGTTGCTAAAATTTTATGGGGGGAAAATGACTGTTTTGCTATCATTAAACATTTTATTGGAGTCCTGGTATGGTGTTGTAAGTTAATGCGCTGGATTGCAAAGTCAGTTTGAACAGCAAGGTTGGTGGTTCAAGCTTACGAGCTGTTCCTCAGAAACCCTAAGCAGCGTTGCTATGGGTCGGGACTGACTTAACAGCAGTTAATAACAACAAACATCTTGTTATAATAGCCAGTTGAAGGTTTTGATAGTGGTCCCTTCATACAAATGGTGTCAGGGACATTTCTAGAAACTCTCCCAAATATTTAAATTTAAACTTTCATAAAAACTAAAAAATCAGTCACTGAAAAATCCTAGATGGCATAAAATGGACAAAGGACTTGAACAGATATTTCACCAAAGACGGCATTCAAATTGTCACCAATATTCAAATGCTCTATATCACTAGCCATTAAAGATATAAATCAAAGCCACAATGAGGCAGCATTTTACCTTCAAGAGGAAAACTTAAAACAACAGAAAATGTGAAGATGTGAGGAAATTGGAACCCTTATCCAATGCTAGTGGGAATACAAAATGGTCCAGTCATTGTGGAAAACACTGTGGTGGGTCCTCGAAAAACTAAAAAATGGAACTACCATGTGATTCAGCAATTCCACTGCTAGGTATTTACCCAAAGACAAGACTCAAACAGACTTTTATACCACTGTTAATTGCACGTAATTCACAACCTAAATGTCTATTAATAGATTAACGAATAAACAAAAAAGGATTCAATGGAATATAATCCAGTCATTAGGAGGTCTTCACACATGTTACAATATTGATGCTGAGTCAAATAACTCAAACAAAAGGACTTGTTTGACCCAACTTGCATAAAAAGAAACTGTAAATGTATAGTACAGTGCAGTGGATTATTTAATACGGTACTCTAGCCAACCTTGCAGTCTAGTGCTTATCCTATAGCACCACATCAGAACTCCAACGACTGGGTTGCTATTGCTAAGTGCTGTCAAGTTGGTTCCAAAGGGTTTCCAAGGAGCAGCTGGTGCACTTGAACCCACTACCTTGCAGTCCAGTGCATAAACCTGCAGCATAGGAGTATGTCCATGTGAGGTACTTGTGGCTCTCCCAGGGGATTGTTACATAGCATACTTGTGGTAGTGGGGCCATGCAGATGAGGTGTGTGAAACCCCATGGTGGGAACTATTCAGTTTTGTCATCCCATTAGGTTTAAAATGAGCCATTCCAGAAGTGAAATGTGGAAGCTCACTACCATCTAGAGTCGGAGTAGAGTGCATCCTTTGTGCCTCTAAGATCACGGCACTGAAACTCCTCGACTCAGGAGACAGAGAGCTGTGACACCAGACAGTGAGAGACGGCAAGTTGTAGTGGCAGAGAAGCAGCAGCAACGAAATGGGCACAAGACAGAGTGGTGGACTTCTGGCCCACAGATGAGAAGAGCATATCTGTGGGCATGTCTAAGAGGCTGTCTTGTAAAGAACTGTATCCTAAGTCACTTCTGTCCCTGATTTGTAATGGGTTACTTTTCAAATCAATCCTGTAACTGTGAGTGTAATCTGTGAGTTATTTATGGTCGTTGGAACAAATTATAAAACCCACCAGAAAAGCAGAGTGGCACGAGAGGAACAGACGGTTGGTATTGGAATTGGTAAAAAGGCTGGAGGGTGGAGGCTTGTCTTATCTCTGCCCCACAGTAATCAGCCAAGAGTAGCTAATGCTGATGATTCTTGCTCCTCCTCCTCTTCCTCTGGGAAGTTAGAGGAGATCAGACACCATGCCCATTTCATTTCTTACATATAAACAAAAAATGTATTAGTGGTCAGAGGGCAGAGTATTAACAGAACAAATCCATGAAACTACTATCCATAAAAAATCTGTAAACCCATTGCTTCCTTAATGAAACACTAGCTGTAAATATGGTCTTTGATTTCCGTGTTGCCACTGCAACAAACTAAGAAAACCAACAGAGAAGCAGAGCGTGCCATGGGGAGGACAAATGGTGACAAATTTGGTAAAAAGGTAGGAGAATGACAGTATTTCTGATCTTTGTCTCACAGAAATCAGCTTTGTGCTCATAGTAATTATCATTCCCCTTCGTAACCTTAGACAGGCTCTGATGTTACTTCTACCATTTTACAGACTCACCATAGTATCTTAGCATAGTAATGAAGATCTCTGAGATTAATTCTCTCTGAATATCTTCCAGATGATATTCTCTGTCAAATATTTCAAAACAATTCCAATGAAAAAAACAAACAAAAAACTTACCTCTGGATGAAAAAAGATTTCTGGTCCCAAGAATCTCTCATAACCAACATCAATGGTAAATTCTTTCTTTGAGATAGCATTGATTCCAGTATACTGTTTAATCCACTTTGATCCATCTGTGTCATACTTGTTAAACTCTTTTACTAAATCTGGGCAGACATAACTGTAACGCTCCTAAAAAACAAAGAAACAACTTTTTTCCTTCTTGTTTAGGGAAACAAAAAGCATTGCCTATTTTCAACAACTAGAATCAAATGAAATTCATTGAAAAAAGTATCTACAGAAAATAAGTTTAAGAAATTAAGGTAGAAGATAACTTTATATAGAATATTATCATCATACTAACACCCAAACGCATTGCCATCACATCAATTCTGACTCACTGTGACTCTGCAGAGTGTTGCCAAGACAGTAAATAGATGCAGAAGCAGACAGTCTCATCTGTCTCCCTTGGCGCACCCGGTGGGTTTGAACCACCAATCTTTAGCTGCCCAATGCCTAACGCTGACTTACTGCATATTTGGTTATATGTACTAAGGGTAAGTTTCCACCAAAAATAAAATTCAAAATGTCACATTATATATAATAACATTTTGTCTGCAATTTATAACTTTCAAAAGTGCTAGTTTCATTTTAAAAAACACAAAAAATGTACTTCACACATTTTTATACATCAGGGACTTTATAGCCAAGATAAATACACATTATTACTGTTGTTAAATGCCATCAAGGCAGTTCCAACTCACAGCAACCCTGAACCGGGTTTCTTAGGAGCAGCTGCTAAGTTTGAACTGCCAACCGTTTGGTAAGCAGTCCAATGCTTACCCTACAGCACCTCACCAGGACTCCAAATATTATTACTGGTTACCAAAAGACAAAAAAGAGACAATCCTGAAAAAGAAGGGTGATTTGTTTATGCTGTATTGATTCATCTTTCTTTCAACCATGGGAATGGGTATTACAATAATCCTTAAAAGACATTAATTCAAATTAAGATCAGTCTTCTATGGGACAGATTTAAATGCCTCATATTTTTGTTTGTTTGCTTGTTTTCTTAAACTTCATAAAACAATCATGTTCATAATTTTTTTCACATATCTAATTTGTATTACTCCAACTTGAAGTGAATTTTACCCACCACTTAAATAATTTCTTTCACTACTCATTTTCTCTTCTAATCTTTGAAGAGCAAAACAAAATCCTATAAGCATATAAAGAAAGGCAAATAAGTGAAGATAATGTCTGACAGGGTACTTTTGCTTTTATATCTTCAAAATATACGTGAGAAATCCACTAAAATGTGTTTAAGTATATTAACAAATGACGAATGTGAAAAGAAATGGTTATATATTTTGAAAGAGTCCATAAAGCATTGATTGTTATTGTTAAGTACCATTGAGTCGGTTCTGACCCATAGGGACCCTGCATAGGGTTTCCAAGGAGTGGCTGATGAGCTTGAACTGCTGACCTTGTGGTTCAAACAGACATTGAAGTCCAGTGACTTAAAATAGCAGACTAATTATTACAATTTCTTATATCCCCAAACCAAAAACAACCTATTATCACAGAGTCAATTCCTAATCACAGTGACCCAAAACAGGATTTCTGAGAGTGTAAATCTTTATGGGAGCATACAGCCTCATCTTTCTCCTTCAGAGGAGCTAGTGGGTTTGAACCACCAACCGTCCAACCCAATGACTAACCCACAGTACAATTAGGACACCTTAAAATAGCTTACAAAACATTCACACTTTCATTTAACATAGTGAATGACACAAAATAATCACAAACGTCATTTACTATAAATGTTCTTATGTTGATGGTGGTGGGTGAAATGACGAAATAAGCAATAATTTACTTGCAAGAAAAATAGAAAAATCATAACTAAAAGTAATGATATGTAACTGGCCAATAGCAGCTACATTTTAAGTAAGGTTTTTTTTGTTTTTGTTTTTTAATGCTATGTGACTTTAATTTCTAACTGAATTACATTTCCATCATTTATATTTTACCTTTACTGCCTTGGCCGTTTCCAGGGACTGTTCTGGAGGGATTCCTACTTCTCGGTCTCTCAGCAGCTGCTGAATGAAATATGTTATATCCCGTCCTGTGATTGGAATGTGCTTAATACAGCTGCCAATCACGTATCCTTCCGCCTGGAAGGAGGAAAAAAAAAAAAAAGACATTTTTTTAGTCTTTATTCCTTAACTTCCTCACACCTTAGAAACAATTTATAACACATTCAAGCAACAATTAACAATGGCCAACTTCTCATTAATAAGAGTTTACATGACTGAAATGATGAAACAATATACACATAATGAATAGGAAAAGTATTATTTTAGATAGCTGACTCCATCAGGTTGTTGTTGTTCTTATATGCCACTGAACTGATTCTGACTCAGAGCGATCTATGTACCACAGAACAAAACAGTGCCCATTCCAGCACCATCTTCACAATTGCTATGTTTCAGCGCACTGGTGCTGCCACTTTGATGCAATCCATCTCATTGACAGTCTTCTTTTTTACCCGATTCTCCTCTTTACCAAGCATGACGTCCTTCTCCAGGGACTGGTTCTTGCTGACAATATGTTTGAAGTATGAGAGACAAAGTCTCGCCATGCTCCTTTCTAGGGAGCATCCTGGCTGTACTTCTTCCAAGATAGATTTGTTTGTTCTTCCAGTTGTTGTTATGCGCTGCAGAGTCGGTTCTGACCCATAGCGACCCTGTACAGGGTTTCCGAAGCTGTAAGTCTTTACGGGAGCAGAAAGCCTCATCTTCCTCCCGCGGAACAGCTGACAGTTTCGAATTGATGACCTTAAGATTTGCAGCCAGATTTGTAACCACTGTGCTACCAGAGCTCCTTCTTCTGGTAGTCCACCGTAATTTCAATATTCTTTGCCAACATAATTCAAATGCATTTTTGTATCGTATTCCTATTCACTATCAACTTTAACATGCATATCAGGCTATTGAAAATACCATGGCTTAAGTTAGATGCACCTTAGTCCTCAAAGTGACATCTTTGCTCTTCAACACTTTAAAGAGGTCTTTTGCTCATTTGAAAGCAGCAAATACCAGAAAGGTACTTATTTGTTGTTTAATAACTATACAAAGGCATTGAACTGTGCGAATCATAACAAGCTATTAATAACATTTCGAAAAATGACAATCTCAGTATACTTGTAATTGTGCTCATACGGAACCTGTACATAGACCAAAAGTCAGTCATTCAAATAGAGCAATGGGATATCAGAAAAGGTGTATATCAGGATTGTATCCTTTCACCATATTTACTCAATTTACACGCTGAGCAAATAATCTTAGAAGCTGGATTGTCATCTGGACTGGAGGAAAACTTATTAACTACCTACAACATGCAGGTGACACAACCTTGCTTGCTAGAAGTCAAGAGGACTTGAAATATTGATGAAGATCAAAGATTACAGTCATCAGTATGGACTGTACCTCAATTTCAAGAAAACGAAAATCCTCACAACTGGACCAATAAGTAACATCATGATAAATGGAGAAAAGACTTCATTTTGCTTACATACACAATCAACGCTCATGAAAGCAGCAGTCAAGAAATCAGAGGATGCACTTGCACTGGGCAAGACTGACTCTGTCAGGTCATCATTGTTGTTAAATGCCATCAGGTAGGTTCCAATGGTTCCAACTCAAAGCTACCCTGCCTAGAGTTTCTAAATAGTGGCTGGTGGGTTTAAAACTGCCAACCTTGTGATTTGCAGAGCAGTGCTTATCCTACTGCACCATTTAAATCTATTATATTATCATTTCAGTAAAGTTTATATTGCACTCTAGGAAATATGTTCAAAAAGTCTACAGAACAGCAATTATTTTTCCGATTAAAGGAAGCAACCATTTCACAAGCCCAAAGCAGTCACCGTAGCATCATAATGTCAAATCATTACATTCCACTCCCTAAACGTACAGTTCAGAAGTAAAACACATAATGCAACAAAATTAAATTTCATTAACAACAACGTTAAGAAACTTCCTCATCAGTCTATAATAAACTATTAAGGATAAGTGTACCCTCCTGACTTTAAGAGAAAACTGACACACATAGGGTGGGCATCGAGTACAGTGCTCAGGAGGGTACTGCCTAAATAAGAAACAAACTATCTCAGACTAAACGCTGGTCTGGATCTGCTGATTTGTATTTAGGAGGCGTTCTTTTCAGGACCAAACTGTTAATAACTTTATAATACCAAAGGGAAAAAGCTAAAAAAATAACACTAAAAGAACCCACAAAACCCGGGACCCAACAATATAATATATATATATATCATGCCTGCAAGAATGCAGGAAAATAGAACTCTTTGCCAAGAGAAAAATTCAGGAATAGAGGACACAGAAATGACAGACAAACTAGAACTAACAGGGAAGGATACTAAAAGGATATTAAAAGAGCTATTATAAATAGCTGCTGTGGGTTAATGCACTGGACTGCAAAGTTGGCTTGAACCAAAAGGCTGGCAAGTTCACGTTCACGAGCTGCTCTGTGGAAAACCTATACAGGGTTGCTATGGGTCAGAACTGACTTGGTGGCACGTAACAACAACATTTTAAATACTAAGGGCAAAGTAATGAATGATTCAGAAAACATCAAAAGAAGATAGAATGAATACACAGAATTACTATACCAAAAAGAAATGGTCAATGTTCAACCATTTCAGGTGGTAGCATATGATTAAGAGTCAATGGTACTGAAGGAACAAGTTCAAGTTGCAATGAAGTCACTGGCAAAGAACAAGGCTTCAGGAATTCATGGTATACAAACTGAAATCTTTCAGCAAACTGATATGGCACTGGAAGTCTATACTAAGAAATTTACAAGACAGCTACCTGGCCAACTGATAGGAAGAGATCCATATTTGTGCAACACTCCTAAGAGAGGTGGACCCAATAAAATGAGGAAATCAGTAGACAATATCATTACTATCACATGTAAGTAAAATTTTGCTAAAAATAATTCAAAATTGGCTGCAGCAGTACACTGGCAGGGAACTGTCACAGGTTCAAGACAGATTCAGAAAAGGACATGGAATGACTGCTGGCAGCAGAGAGTACCAGAAAGACGTGTACCTGTGCTTTATCGATTATCAAAACACTTTGCTATAGAGAACACTGCGGAGAATGAGTATTTTTTAATTATGCTCTTGAAGAATCAGTACATGATTAAAAGTCAACGGAGGTGTGGAAAAAACAGAGAAGAAGCTTTCCCAGAGCAGTGCCAGAGTTTTGGATGTTATATAAGGCGTGCCTGTGAAGAAATCTGACTGTGGAAGCAAAATACACCGATTTCTGAATAGATCAGGATAACTGATTCCCCTACAGGTCCCTCAGCCTGGACTGAAATCAGAGGGCAGGGCCACAGCCAAGTGGATACATTGACAAAACGCTAAAAAGCCGCGGAGCTGCATCTGGAAAAAAGGTGTTACGGAATTTTCATTTTTCACGTTTTTTTTCTCTCTCCTCTCCCCGGTAGCACCCTCACTGCCTAGCCCAGAAAACTTCAGACGGGTGGGAGTGCACCCCCAAATAGGTCTGGTGTTGCACCCACAGTTTTCCACGGCACAGAGAGCGCGTTTCTGAGAGCACCATTGGTCCCACAGGTTGCTTCTTATGACGCCTGACTCTGGGACCCAGCCCTAAAGTTAACCTGCCTGCACAGTAAAGGCTACTGTGATAGAAGGTGACAGTTTTATTATTGGTTTTGAGTGGTGGTTTTGTCTCTGCTTTTATATTTTTTCTGTTTTAGGTACTTTTGGTCTCACTCTTTTCTGGGGGTGGGAGCTTTCTCACCCTACTTTACCCAAAAAGAGACAGCAAGTGTGCTCATACAGCCAAGCTACAAGTATACCCCATAATATCCCACCACTTGGACAAGAGCCAATACCAGCTGCTAGGCTTTACATGTGAAAAGGGAAGCCTATCTCCAGATCACATCCACCAGAGGACACTCAGTAAATTTAACAACACAGCAACATACATTCATTTAAGCATTAAAAACCCACATAACTTCTGAAACGGTCCCAGAAAAAAAAAGATCCCAGCATATGTACAAAAGCAGAAAAGAACAACTGAGACAAATTAGCTAGAAGCAGACACAGACTTCCCAGTAGAAGAAAAGTATGCTTTGGATCTGCCTGAGAAGGAATTCAGACAAATGACATGGAAACAAATGCATATGCTCCACAAAGGGGTAGAGGAAAATCAGGAAGAAGTCAGGAAAAGTGCTACAGGAGAAATCAAACAAGATAGATACAGCACTGGAAACAATTCAAAACCTGCAAAAGAGGTCCAGATGATTAATAATGAAATATCAGAAATGGACAATACACGGAAGTGGTAAAGGAGTAGAATTGAAGAGACGGAAGCCAGAACCAGAGAACTGGAAGATAAATCTCTCAATACTGCAAGGACAGAAGAGCAAGCAGAAAAAATAATCTAAAAAATCTGAAGAGAGTTAAGATTCATGCTGGAGAATATGAAGTGAAATAACTTAAGAAACACTGGCATCCCGGAACAGGAAGAATCACAGTCCACAAAGGAGATAGTTGAGGAACTACTGGAAGAAAATTTCCCTAACATATTGAAAGATGAGAAGATTCAAGAAGCTGAACAAACCCCAAAATAAAATCACCAAGACATAGCATAATCAAGCTCTCCAAAACCAAAGATAAAGAGAGACTCCTAAAAGCAGCAAGGGAAAAGAGAGGTGTTACCTAAAAAGGCAAGCAAATCCGATTAAGCTCTGACTTCTCAGCAGAAACCATGAAGGCAAGAAGACAATGAGAAGACATATATAAAACCTCAAAAGAAAACAACGTACAACCAAGAATCGTCTATCCAGCAAAAACTGTCAATCAAATATGATGGTACAATCAAAACATTTCAGGATAAACAGAACCTAAGAGATTTTGTCAAAGCCAATCCAGTGCTTCAAAACATCCTAAAGGGAGTTCTTTGGAATGAAAACCAGCAAGCAAAGACAACAACCAAAGACTGACAGACATGGCAACAACCACCTAGAACTCAGTCAACCGATAGCGGAGGTCAGAACAGAACAAAATTACAATACCAATTCAGAGGACCTGTGAGGCCAATCAAAGATCAAAATATTA